TTCGATGGCGCCAGGTTCCAAGGATGGGGTTGCCGGTGTATAAGCACGGAGGAAGCGGCGATTGCGGAGTGTTAGCCGTCCAGATCCATGCACCTTCACCTGGTATTGATCGTGGCCTGGTGACTCCACCACCACCCCTGATCTGTCCCACTTGTTAGGGTGAGTGCCCGGTTAATTCTGGATGAAGACTTTCCCACCGATTGCCAACGGCCGGAGGGGACGCAAGTGGGTCTCAAGAGACTCTGTGGTACGAGCGAGCCGTGTTCGCAGAACCTGTTCCTTTGCCTCCCACGCCTGACGCCACAGGGGGCGGATGTGGGGATTGGAGAATTTCTCGAGTCGGTTGACGAAGGAGAGTGTGTCTCGTAACGGACGGCCGAATATTATCTCCGCTGATGAGAGGTTGCAGTCAGGATCAGGTGTATTACGTAGCTGTAACATGGCACGCATGAAGCGGTCGTGATCGAGGCTGCCGGTTGGGCCCGTGTTGGACCTCAGCAGACGTTTGGCAGTCTTCACCGCGACCTCTGCTCTGCCGTTCGATTTAGGGAAGCCGACTGAGGACAAGCGGTGTCTGACTCCCCATAGACGGACGAAGTCTTCTGCACAGCTAGCCGTAAACTCCGGGGCGCCTTCGCTCAAGATCTCCTCTGGTACACCGAATGTGGTGCAGAATGACAGAAGGTGGCGGACTAGGTCAGCGGATCCAACAAGGCTGGTGCCTGCTTTTGAGCTGTATACTTTCACCCAACCTGACAGGCGATCACTTACAATGAGGTAGTGGCCACCCCCTTGATTAAAGAAGTCTGCAAATATCGCCTCAAAAGGTGACGCAGGTGGTGGCGATGGTAGTGGCGGTGTGGCGGCTTGTGAGGGAGCGTTCCGGTTGCAATCGGTACATCGCTCGCAGGTTTATCGAATGTCCCTCGACATTCCCGGCCAATAGACAATGGCATGGGCACGCTGTTCTATTGTGGATATACCCTGGTGGGCTGCATGGAGCGTCTTTAAGACACGACGGCGACGGGACGGCGGGACCACAATGCGATCTTGGTATAACAGGATGCCCTCGTGTGCGTAGATGGACTTGGCAATGGGCCCGAAGTTGGCAATATTAGGGTCATCGCGCTGTAAAAGGTGACCACGGGATGCACCTGCTGCCGTTTCTTGTGTGATGAGGGGCCATGAGATCAAGCCAAGCTCTTGGGCTTCATTGCAGATGAAGGCCATCAAAGCTGACTCTACAAAGTTGGGACGGCCTGACATTTCCAATGGGCAGTCGGTCGCTGAGTTGGACGGGGAGGGGTGCCTTGATGCTGCGTCGGCGGCATGGTTGCTCTTTAATACTGGACATATTCTTGATTTCGAAGCGCCATTGGAGGGTGTGTTGCTTGAGACGGAGAGTCGAGAATTGGATATCTCATCCAGCGTGCGGTCTCCGTAGATCTGCACAAGTTGCTTGTGGTCGGTGACCACGATGACGTTGTCGCACCCTTGGGTGAAGTACCGTGACTGTTCGACACCCCAGGCAATGGCCAGTGCTTCCCCCTCAATGGCTGCGTAGCATTGCTCCGCCGAGGATAAGAAACAGGAGCCAGCCAGGGCCAGGGTGATCCTCCTTCCCCCGGGGGAAAACGTCTGGCTTGCCAGATGTGCAGCTACAATGTTGCTGGAGGAGTAAGTGCCGATGCCACGCTTTGACCAGCCGGGGCGGAGGCACGTTCACCTCTTTATGTCGAAAATCTCCACGCCCTGGTGAATGGCTTCCACAATGGCTACCTTGGACGCCTGGAAAGTCTCTTCCGACTCGGGGGGTCAATGAGAATTTACAACGTGGGCTGAGGAATGGCTTGAATGGGGCCATCATGTCACAAAGCTGGGCATAGTTGGCCACCTGGTTGACGAGACCAAACCAACTTCTGATATCCGTAGTGGAGCATGGGGAAGGGAAGTCTCAAATGGCGTCAAGGTACTTGGGGAGGGGTTCGATAGTAGAGTCAGACACCCAAAATCAGGCAAAATCTACACTTCTTTCGGCGAACTGGAATTTGTCTGGGTTCAGCACGATGCCTACCTGGCCTACAAGTGTGAGCAAGTCGATGGTCCGCCACCAGTGCTGTTCCAGGTCGGTGTAGAAGTGGTTGGTGTCGTCAACACAGCATTCCTTGCGTTTAAAGGTTGATAGTCTGAAGGTTGACAGTATGTCAAAGCGACGATTGTACCCGTCTCCTGACGACAAGAAACCCTGGGGTGCCCTCGTGTAGCGCCAGCGACCGAAAGGTGTGATAAAGGTAGTCAAGCGACGTTCGGATTCGCGCAGGGGGACACTTTGGTAGCTGTTCCAGGCATCTGTGACATGTGTCTTTCGGGATACGAGGAGCGAGCTGGAATGGTGATTCTGTGGCGAATGTCTCCCGTTTACAGAACTTGTTCAACCGCGAAAGATCAACTGTCCAACGGGAGGCGCCGTTGTGCTTTCGTGTAATCACCACACGATGGCACCATGTGATAGGTTCTCCGTATGGCACACGTTCTATGACACCAAGGGCTTTATCGTGGAGGAGGTCATCGAGTACCTGCTGTTGCCAGTGCAACGAAATGTTAGCCGGGGTGTGGCAGATCAATGTGTATCTCTACGGGGGTCCGTCAATGCATGGTAATGCTTGGTGGGGGTAGGTATTGAATGTGGATGAGCCATATCTCTCGAGTAGCCAAGCTTTCATTCGTTTGTTGTTTTCCACCGTACACAGGAACAGCAGCTCGGTTGGACGTGATGGGGGAGGTTCGCGTGGGGGGAAGAAGCACATGGCATCTGGTAGGATGTAAGGTGCCCGGCACCGTCGTTGATGGATCGCAAGACGTTCGTGGCCGGAGGATCTCAAGATGTGCCCGAGTCACTAGGATCACGCTCCTGGCTTCGCCCAGTGACACTGGGAACGCTGTCGATTGATGGAAAGTCATTCGAGAGGAGGCCAAGGTTGAGTAGCGTTTTGTACGACATATACATGGCTTCTACAGAGCTAGTCACGTAGACGACAGAGTGGCACGTCGCCGTCCCTCCACTGCGAGGGTGTGCTGTGAGCTTGGCGAAGAATGCCCCTTCAATCGGAGTTGGGGAGCGATTGCCAGCTGAAAGGCTAAGGCTAACAGGGTTCAAGTCGTCACGGGAGAATCCGCAAGCCAAGAAGTTTGCCAGGGACCATAAGTCCGATTGTGCACCTGTGTCTGCGATCGCAGATACCTCTGCTAAGGTGTTTGCAGCTCTGGATGGGCTGGTCTGTCCATTCAGAGCCGACCCGTCGACTGAAACCGTTATCGCGACTCTGGGGTGGTCTTGGAGGCAGTCTTGCTTCCACTCGCCCTTGGTAAAGATGTGATGGTCTAGCCTCGTGGGTGGGGGTTTGTTGACGGTAATGGGTGTGGGTTAAGTACATCTGCGGTGTTGGCGCACCCTCTTGTGCGGGGGTTGAGGGCCACCATTCTGAAAAGCTGCAATCTGGGATATCGGGCCAGATTCAAAGGCCTGGACAATGGGTGGCGGGTCCTTGTGGGGACGGGGCTGGCTGTTTCTCCGGCGGTTAGCCCTGAATCAGGTGATGCAGACTCGGTGGGGCTTGGAATTCCTTCCCCGTGGCCCCTCAGTGAAGACCTTAAATACCCCCTTGCAGACTGGGCATGTCACCTCCTTGTTCCGGTCGGCGTGGGATGGCACTGCCGCAGCGGTTGTGGGCGGAGTCTTTTGGCGCCGAATGACGATACAGCGGATAGGGCAGATGAGGGGAGGGTGTTGCGGGCCATTTCTTTGGTTTCAACGAGGGCGATCACATCGTTGACCGGTTTCTTGTGGATATCTGATACCCCAAGTACTTCACGGCAGATGTCAGGATCGTACAATCCGTTAAGAAGGACATCGTGGACTATGTGATCCATGTAGTCAACGCTCTTGCCACATTCACACCGTGCAGCAAAAGCGCAAGGCTCGGCTTTTCCACGCACTCTGGCCAACGAAGGCCTGGGATGCTTACTCTCATTCCTGGCTTTACTGGAGCAGGTCGGTACGTAGGACACAGGTGGCTACCGGGATGATTGCGAGGGAACGCATCGTGGCAAGCAGTTGTGGCAGGGTGTCGGATGCGGCATTGGGGTTCGCTTTTAGTATGATGTCACCCAACGCAGTCCCTGTGCACTGGAATAACTGCCATGCGGCCGGTGCGCCATCTATTCCTAAACCAGCACGGAAGACCTCCCATCGCCGGACAAAAACATTCCAATCTTCGACTGACACGCCAATATCAATCTTGGGCTGCTCTAGACCCACTAGTGTGGCACGGACTCTCACTCCCGATCCATCCTTAACCACACATCCGTATAAGCAATTTCGTGTCGGCGTATTGAATATTTCGGCGCACCCACTTATCATCGTAGGCGCAATTTCTTCTGCACACGAACATGATTCTTGACCTTTCCACTTTCTAAAAACCATTTATTGAATGATTTCACTCCCGTTATTCAGGTATTTTCCAGTCATTTTGCCTAATGTAATGTAACCTGATATTACCCGAATTTTGATTTGATGGCATTCTTACTTGTATTAAATACTTTTATGTAAGCCGAATAATTCTGAATTTATGTCATCATGATTGGCGCTTCTGCTCTCAGGTAGAGGCGCTAAATTTATTTCAGTTTCGCCACCATAAACAGATAACCATACCGCGTGAGCCACGACTAATTTGGCATCACGGTATTTGAACCAACTTGCAAATTGGCAGTCCCTTTTGGAAATGCGGGAATCTTAGGAATTGTTTTCAGAAATTTTAGAAGGGGAAATTTGGGGAAATTCTCAGAATATTTCAAAATAATTCAGAATTTTTTACCTGGCGAGGGGTCCCGACGGAATTTTCTGATAGAACTCTAGGATCCCTACCAAAGATTATATAGCGGCGCTATACGATCTTTGATCTGTACTACTGGTGGCGCTATTTCGGTTTTCTATATGGGCGCGTATTTGGCGTAGTGCAGCCGTAGGCCCGGTGATTTAAGGCGTCATACATCGGAAAATATACGGTTTGGGAAAGCTTTAGGGGGCTCATATAAAATTCCAAGCTCTGAGGAATTCGCCGGTGTAAGTAAAATTGTCAAAAGGGTTCAAAAGTTTGTGATATCATGCAGTTTAAAATCCAGGCATTAATTAAAGACATGCCTTGAAGTTGAAGCAGGGTTGTGATGGCGACAGAATTGAGACAGATTGTAAAACTTCAAAGAGAGCAACCACAGCCCTACATGTATGTGTGGACCTGGTTATTCCACTCTGTACTGGCCCATTAGCTTGGTTTAAATTTGAGCCCCTTAAGTTATATTTACTTTATTTTCCTGATTCCTTAGGCTTTTAGAAGTGAAATAAAGGCCGAAATGGCATCGGGTCTGATTCCCATCTTGTTTACATGGTTTAGGCCTAGGCCTACCTCCAGTACTCTCATGACTGTGGTGGGGTCCGACGTCCGCTCCACTCCAACGAATGGTAGTGGGAGCAGAGCTGACATCAAACCCCACAGTTCTGTGAGTGGGTGTACATGTACACATGTATGTACGTTAGGCCCCATCGACATGGCATGTTTGCTGCTTTCAGTTCACTTCGATTTTTGAGGGGCACACGTACAATGTACCTCATTCTCGTCACCACCTTATATTGGAGAAACCATGCTGTTCATGTTCCATGGCAGTAAAATAGCATTTTGCAATCATGGACAGGTACATGTACATGCATGTCAAATACATGTATGTACTGGCATTTTGTTTTGCACATATCTTCTGTTTGGGGTCTCGTCAGTTAAGCTCTGCTTGACTTACATCGACCTTGTATGGAAGCAAGCACAGCATGTGTTCATTATAACCGCTGATTTCTTTGCATGTACATGTATGTGCATGCTCATTGCTGCCACAAAAAGTGATTTCAAAGTTCAACTTTAAATACATTTACACGTAGGGGAGATACATGTACATGTGATTTCATAGGCAGCAACAACTAGCTTCTCTCTTTGAAGCAACCAAACTTGTGCACTGGTATTCAAGTTCGACGAGTACATCTTTCATGTAATCTTAATTGTGTTGCAGACATTGTCTTAGGTAGTCCAAGATGAGTTTCTTCCTCCCTGTGTTTGTCACTGCTGCTGCTGTGTTTACAGCATATTACGGGTATGTGCTGTTCCAGTTCCTCTACAAACCCTGGAAGCAATTACAGTACTTCAGCAAGAAGATCCCAGGGCCAGTTGCTCTACCATTCATAGGAAATGCACATCAACTAGAGGCAGAGCCAGCAAGTAAGTATCGCTGATGTTGATCCCACCCTTTTGTGAACTTCCTTTGTGATCTGTATAAGCACAAGGTTAAATTTATAAGAAGTAATTTAAAGAATCCTGTTTGTAATAAATGTGGGGCTTTTTGAAACCTTCATGGCCAAACATAGTATTTTTTGAGGGTGATTGCCAATTTTTGCTTTGGGGGACATTGAAAGTTGCTTCCCTGGGCAAATAAAGGATGCGTATCAAAAGTATGATGCCTCAAAAGTCAGAATTGGCTGACTTACATACATATTAATGAGGCATCGGATCTTTAGGCCGAAATAAACTAATGTTGTTGTTGTTTTGTTTTAATGTCGCTTTCAGCAACTCAGGCTATTTGCTCCACTAAATGTACGTTTATTCATACACTTTATTAATCAGCATTACATTACGGAGTTAAAAAGAAGGTCCAGTTTTAGAGGCAGGAGGAAACCGAAGTGCCCGGAGAAAACCTGTGAGAGCAAGTATGGACTGGAAACCAAATGAAATTAAAGCCTGGGCCAAGCCGCGACTCGAACCCTGGCCTCATTGGTGCAAAGCAAGGAAAGAACCACTACACTAATCCGCTCCCCCCAAGATAAACTAATAAAGAATTGTCAGACTTTTGAGGTGTCGGACTTAAAAACTTTTTAAATGCCTTTTTTTGGTCTTACATATACATGTATGAGGCATCGGACTTACATACTGTATGAGCTGACCCTTAAATAAACCATATTATATTTGACCTTGCCTCAAAAATATTCAGTACCATTCAAGCTGGCATTAGGGAAAGGGAGCACGTAAGGTGTACATGTTACTCAATATGTACATGTAAATATGTGGTGTACTTGTAGCATAGCTAGGGTAATGTTTTGTGTGCACATGCTTCACCCAGGTGACAGTCGACTACACTGTTCCCTGATAATAAATCAGTATGCTAGCATATTTAACTTGTGCGTAGATCCTTGTGTGTGCGTTTGGTAAACAGCAGAAATAGCATATGACAATGCATGGACCAGTGAGTGTATTTTGAGAGTTCTGCTTTCAGTCATGAATACGTATGAGGTACATGAACATATATGGTAGCATTCTTTCATATGGTGTGTAATTTGAACTCTTTCACAGCTTGATATACGGTATATCCCCCCAGTGAAAATATATTTACAGAATAAAATACGATTCGTGATATTAGTTTTAGAAGAAGAATTACTCTCTCATGTCCCTGAAGACAGCTCATCTATCTTCATCCTGTCACTGGCATACTTTTTTGGGTGAGGATAGAATTTTGTATCCCTGGCCCTTTTGGCCCATTTATACAAATGGGTTCTTGAAAGCGGGGAGGGATAGTAATGCTGTGAGATTTTTACTTTAATACAAGAGTGGAAACCTGTTAGGTACATACACTACATGTATACATGTACGTTGATACTCCACAACAACGATGTAGCAACCACACCCATGATGTCACAGCCATATGAGAGCTCTGATTAGCAAGAACAGTAAATCTTAACACGGTATCTTTGAAAGAAATCACCTTTGTGTCTGAACATAGTAGTATATTGAACACCCCGGACCGCGCATGGTTTGTCCGTTCTGAATATGAACAACCTACGAAAGCATGTGTCCTACATGTATATTTTGACCACCCGAATTGCGTTAAAAAGCAGGATTTAGTGTCACTTTGGAAAAGTGTGGTAACATTATCAATTTCAAGTTCAATTATGAAAACTGAAGTAGTCTTTAAAAGTTAAGCTCGGTTGCAGTTTTTCTTCCAGATGACAATACATGTATACGTGTACATGTACATATACTGTATTTTTCTTTTAATTAATTAAAATAATTCCAGCAACAGTGATAAGTACAGTATTATCCATGCAGCAGTATCAACCCTCAAAGTTAGTTCTTTGCTGACCAAGTGTTTGCTTGTTTTCTTTAATAACAGAATTTTACCAGCAGATCTTGGGTTTTTGCCAAGATTTCCCCAAATTCTTCAGGATCATGCTGGGACCCATTGCCATGATTGTCATCACCAACGCCAAGGATGCAGAGGTACATGTAGTGCAACACATATTCAATCTGTTCTTTGCAGAAGTTAGGCCAAGTAAAACACTACCGATAGTCTCTCATCCCTGCCCGCTACTTTTTCCCTCCCCAACTTTTTTTTCAAATTTAGATCTCTTTTCATTGAAGTTGAAAGTAGTCTTACTCACGATTTGCTGCTAGCTTTAAATGCAAATTTAAAATTGTTCCATGGGTGAAAGCTGCTTCAAATGCAAGTACATGTACATGTATCAGCAAAGGGTTGGAAAACTATAAAGAAACATTTGCCATTTAAACTTAAACTAGGGGAGGGGAACTGTTTTCTTTTTGTCATAAAGCCTGAGTGTGAAACCTTTTTTTTACTCCTCGTGGTTTCTCCTCAAAGAATGGTTTGAAACATACACTTAGTTCATGCCAGCTCCATAGATGGTGCTATGGCATGTATGGTAGCTTTCCTTTTAATTAATATGGACAGAAAATCTAACGTGTTTGCATTTAATTTATTATTCCTTGGGTACTTTTGCTTGAGGAGCTCTTTTAGGGTCTTCCAAATGCACATGGTTTAAGGCGTCATCCTCCAATTGACTAAGTGTTCTTCCGCGTATTGTCCCCATTGTTTCCGATCAGTCTGGCATTGCTAAGTAGGGGGAATCCATGGATGTGACAGGTGTGCGCAGAAGTGTAAGGGGTTTGATGAGGCAGGCCGCCATGTGCCCTTTTGTCATCACAACAAAAAGCTTCATGAATAAGCATGATTTCTCTGGACCTCATGAATACAGACAGCTGTTCTGTGGAAAAGATGTTCCCTCATTTCAAGTATCAACATTTATTAAAGATGATGGGGTCATTACTGTCGTTAAGAAATTTTTTGCTGAACTTTGGTTTGGCTTGGGACATGTACTGTACATGTACACGCATGTGCATACGTACATGTACATGTGTTGTACGTGTGCGCGTACAATGGTCAATGCACATTGAGACATTGGGAGCTCGCTACGAATGTGCCGTAGTACTTCCGTGTATAAGTGATACAAGTATTGAATCTCCTCCATCCCATATCCATGAGCAACTTTGATTTCAACAGTTTTACACTTTTTCCAAAGTTTAATTATGTGTTACACTTATGTGGAATATTAGCGTCGGAGGAGGTGTGACATTTTCCAAACGTGTTTTGCCGACCAAAAAAGTTGTGTTGAAACCATGCTTCAACAGAACGATCGTAGGATATGTGAAAACAGCAAAAATAGTATGCTCAAATGGGAATTTCCTACTTTACAGAATAGAAAATCAAACTTGATTTCTCGAGTGAATACAGCCTGAAAGTTTACCCCTGATGGCACGCTTCTGGAACCTTTGGATAGGAAAATAACATGCAAAGATTTTAGAATTTGTAATATTTTTTCGTTCAGTTTCTTCTTAAAAAGTCCAGTTTGGAATGAGGGCTTTGAAAGATATTTGCTATTACATCAATTTATAGAAACTGAAAAATTAACTGACCTAAAAGAGAAATATCCTGCCAAAAAATTGGCCCATCACTTCCGAAAATCTAAAATACATGAAGAACGGTGCAATACAGCAGTCTCGTACGCAGAAATTTTATGGTAGTCTGTGGGTAAAAACCAAAATAAAAACCAGATCAAAATATTTGCACATTTTGATAATTTATGAAGTAATAAACATAAAGCATTATTCTACTTTTACAAAAGATTCTAAGATTTTATCTAACCTTTGCTGACAACAACTGCATGATGTCAACTTAACGGAATCTGGAACCCATCAACTGCAGGTACAGTAGTTAAATCTTTGCAAAGTTGTACAATCTCGTTTTCAAGAGAGCAGCGAAAACAAACGTGCATGAACATGGAGACCTAGGTACAATATCGCTGGACGTGAAAGGTCGTTAATAAAATTCGTTTTCTACCCATCTCCATGTGACTTTTCCTAAATATTACTTGAGGACAAAGGTAAAATTCCAACTTGAGTGTTTCATAGGGTGGTTTCAGTAAGGAATCATTTTTCCAAAAGTTTTCGAACGTGATAGGATGGCCCAATGTAAAATCCCCATAGGCGGACCACACAAGGGTTCCGGAAGCTTGCTGTTTGACCTTTTACTTTCAGGCTCTACTGTGTTCTGGTTATTTTTTTCACGAAACAGATTCATTTACCAAACTGTGGCATTCAATATATTCCAAGGACCGTGGTATCAAGTCAACATTCTTTTCTAGGACAGTGACCACATTCAAGTTGCAATTTTGAATTTTTAATCTGTCTTTTTTTTTTCAAATGGATAATGGCATTTTATTTGAGATCTGCGAACAACTTTGGCAAACGACATGTGATTTTGACCAAACGAAAGGAAAGTTTATTTGGCCCCTGCGTGCATCAAGTCTCGTCGCGTATGGAAGCGCTGCTATATTCCACCTGTCAAAATCTTTTTTTTCCTCCAGAGTTGCCTTCAATTGAACAGGAGTCCAACTACGATCAGCATCCAATCAAAAGTTGTTTTGCGCATTCATTTATGACATCTTTGGCCTAATAATAATGCATATATACAGGCAATTCCACGGTAACTCGCATTACAAATACATGTACATGTAATGGGTACATTTACTGGATAATGTGCTATATCTCTGTAATATTTAGGACTACAAGTTTCTTTTTTCACTGTGGGTATAGTAGACATAGACCAACTAAATGAATTAAAAAAAGGGACAAACATTTTGAGATTTACCTCTTTGGATAGCTCTGCATCTTACATTAAGTATTTTTACAGATGCACACTTTTGTAAATAGTAAAATGAATATATACATGTATCTAGAACGATTACATGTATGTTATGGAAAAACCTTATTGTCAAAAAAGTCATGACATTCCTTGGAGGCTACTGCCTCATCTTACTGGCCAGTAGCTTTTAGGCATCAGTGTTGCTTCTCAGCAGATTTTAGAGCCTGGCATGTTGTCTCTCTGTGGGAAATACCAGTAAAACAAAACATCTTCACAGGAAATTTCAGTTTTATTGTTTTTAAATTGCACCTGAGGTTCAGTTTATGTTTGGGAAAACTGAAGAAAGTAGAAGTTAAAACTTTAATATGAAAACCATAATTATTTCATTAAATTGTTAAAAATCATTATTTGACTTCATTCATACACAGGTGTAACAAAATAACGTGTACATGTACATGTAAGTCCTAAGTACAGCTCCGGCATTTTATTGATTGTTGCAAGTCATAATTTGAATAGACCTAATGTCTTTTGTATGAGGGGCTGGGGACCACAGTGGCATCCTACACATACCTGTAGTATGATGGAGCTACATGTACATAGTACAATGTAGCACACATTCATACCCTGCAGTTCAGAATGTTCATTTACATGGTTGTGTGAGCATAGTTAGCATGCACATGTACGTGTAAAATTGAATGAAATCATTGCTTGCAGTGCGCTGTGAAGTCACTATAAAGTATAATAACAGAAAAGTATGCCTGTACATGTACATGTACCATTGACATTTATTTGATACGTGTTAGTCCTAGAACTACTATAAATATTTCAGTCGTTTCTTTCTTTCAATGATTAGATTATAAGTAAAAATTAATAACGTACACTTACTCTCTTTTATCTTGTTGCTGTATAAACTTTTGGTTTTATTGGATGGACAAAAACTGAAAGTAAAAGCCTAGAGAAGGTGGCATGTGCTCATGCTGATATTATGCAATAGGCAGAGTTCATTTAGGCTGCCCTCTTGGTTCATTGCCTCACAGTCTGCATCACATTGCATCTGATTGTGTTCAGCACACCCTAGCCCAGTTAAGGGTCTAACATTGCTCATACTGGTGGAATCTTGCATTTATACATGTAGTTGGTAACTCGCATTACATGGTGGTAAAACATTACATGGTACATGTAACTCGCGTTACACTGTTTGATGACTTTTTTTTTACTGATGACACTCTTTATTTTGGCAAACATCTTGCTCACAGAATCAAGGTGTGAAAGTTTAGAAAATTATCAGAGCCAACAATTTACCTTTCAGAATTTCTTCAGAATGAAAAAACTTTATTGTTTTGGTAACTCGTGTTACATGACCGAAATATTTCTTTGTGTGGTGATTAAATATTTTGGAAGGTGATGTGGAAATTTTGTCTTAAGATACTGAAGTACCGGTAGATTCAATTTACTTCTCTAAATTGAATTAATAGAAGTGCTACCGGTAGAATTTTTTTCATTTCAGAAATTCAAATTCAGTTAAGAATATATTTTAGCAGTTTGGATGACTAAAAAATCTCTTCAGCATTTAGAACTATGTTTTGCAAAATATTCGACCGATTGATATAATTCTTTTTGTGTCTTTCACTTCAACATATGGGTATAACAATTACTACATGTACTTTCTTTACAGTGTAATAAACTTGAAATTTTAGTGGCATGTCCACCTTTCCATGGAATTGCCCACAGGCACAATTGGATGTAGTGAGAATTTAGTACTGTTCTGCAGCTGAAATGCTGTACCTTGTGTGTTCTTGGTTGGTTATTAGTGAATTCTCACCACATGCATTTTACACCATCATGTGATCCAGGGCCATTGCAAATTTACTGTTCATAACCGCTATATGCACCATGTGTACTTCACTTGCACATCTGCCGAGCGCGGATGCAGTATATACATGTACATGTACAGTACTGAAACTTGTTTTTTATTTTTCGTTGTGTTGCTTTTTTTTTCAAGTTTTCGTAAGTGCATTCTGTTTGCTAGCAATGCCATGCCATCTCAAAGCCAAACATCCAAACCGACCAGTGCATGTGGTTCGGTTTGGTTCGGTTCGAAAGTGCCATGTTCTACATGTATGATTTTAGGCTCAATCCGGCATTTTGGCAGCAGCACTACATGTAGCTGTCGCTCTCAAAAGGTGGTTTAGCCGCTGGTCTCTTTTCTTCAAGACTGGGCGTTTGTAGGTACATGTATATCTTATGCTCATAAAACTTTAAACTTGGAACAAACCTAGTAATTATTCTGATGGCAGTGCTGGGATGTGTTAGCCCATAGGATTTGTAAGATCTCAAAACGGGACTGTGGAGTTATGTTGAAATATACTACTGTATATAATAGTGTCAAACAATCTGTGAAATAACCGCCAGAAATCCTGTCGTTTTCAAGAAATTTCCAAAGCCGGATGATCTTTGGAAGATTTCAACTATTGGAGGGAGCCGTTGCAAGAGTCTATATTAATGGGTCATGTGCAAAATGCCAACGCACCATTGGTATGCCTAAAGTCATTATTAACTAATAAAATAGATACATTTGAATAACCGTAACTATATAACGACCTAAAAGAGAATTTGGACTGGTCTGAAATTAAACTTTATTTATGAAGCTTTGAAAGTTTACCTCACGTACATGTAAATTCTATCATCTCGGTATCACCCCTCAAGATAATGGTATGGTTCAAATCAATTATAACCTCTCCGGAGGAGCTCCTGGGCAAGGTTTCTCAAACAGAATCTCCAATATTCAAACATTAAGCTTTCTAATTTTGAAATCATAGTAACTCATATGACCAAAATGCAATGTAAGCCCTGATGTCCGATCATTTATTTTCTTCAAACTTTGGTTTGACCCGGTTTGAAAAGGGCCCCGGTAAGCTTGCCCTGTTGCAAAGACCCCTTTCATACCGGCCTGGCTACCGGCCTGGCTACTGGCCTGGCTACCGGCCTGGCTACCGGCCTGGGATGCTGGACTGGTTGTTGATCTGGAACTTCTCCATCCTGGGGTCTATTGTTTGCAAGTACTGGTACATGTAATCTATCCCAGAAGGAACCTGCTTGTGGTTTTTAATCCTTCAGCTCTATACAATGTTTACACTAATCCCCTTAGACCCCTATTCATCTGTGGAAGCATGATGGGGAAGCCTGTCATCAGGGACTTTGAAATGCCAATGTGCAGACAGGCCTGATACCGGCCTGGAGCAGCCTGAATACCGGGCAGGCATTATACTGGGTGGACTACGAGGGGGGGGGGCCTTTTCAAACCGGGTCTAAATGGTCGCCGTCCCTAAATAAACATGGAGTTTGGAACACAATCTAAAGTGCGTCCCATGTCTTGTATAATTATGTTAATTGTTTATTTAGAGCCATGGTGTGCATCTCTCTGTTAAAAGGTTGAGTGATTTTGTTTGACGTTGTTTTGGAACAAGTGTATGTGAGGGTTTTGATTGGCCTGTAGACAGGTGATGTGTGGGGATGAAAGGAAAAAGCAAGCTAAGAGGGAGAATGCAAAACATCAGTAGCGAGCACGCCATGATCTTCCTGCGCCGTGCTAGCAGCGAAATTCTCTTTGAGAAATTTTTAAGCTTGTGAGCTTTTCCAGGCAAAGAATCAGTCCTGCACACCGTAAGTTGAACTACAATTATTAATTTTGTGTAAATACTTAATTTGAGACGTACATGTATTAGATTTTGAAGTGAATTTGTGTAACTTTGATAAATCTAATACTTTTATTAACATGTTAACACATTAAAGAACAACATTTAGGTAAAGGGCGAAGCATAGATTTGCTTTTGTACCCTAACCTATTGATAGACATACATGTACATATTATAATATGTACAATACAAGACATGAACATGTTTTGGGCAATGATACACATACGGACAAACACAGAGAGGCAGGAGATAATACGATGCATCAAAATCCAAAATCATGACGAGATTTTGAAATTTGAAGAATGATTATGGTCTAGAAATACAAGATTCTTGCTTCTAAGGAGTTCAGAATAATTTGCGTTTCACTGATAAAGACATCCGACGTTTGTTTTAACTTGTGCGGAAGTTTAATTTCATATTTTGCTCAGATTTTGTAAAATTCACTTTGTAGCCACATTATAGTTAGATAAATGGTTAACATTGACATTTTTGATTGCTTTTAAGCAGGGCATAAGGTGTCATTGAACCACTGATGGGTGCCATTGAGGGTACCGTTGACTGGCAGTCAGTCCACCATTGGACCAACGCCTCTATTGATGTCGGTCACAGATGGTGAAACAACTTTGGCGACAGGACCTTGAAAGTCCAAAGTGGATCACAGATGACAATAACGGAACAGAGCCTTACTCACCAACCCTCTGAGGCTCAACAGGGACTAGGGCCAACAAGGAGCACCTCCACAAGTCAAGCACTGGTGGGCCCATCACACAGCCTGCATGTAATTATACTGATCGTGACTTCTTGTGTGTGTGTTCTGTTGATTTATAACAGTATCTGAAGAAAATTTTGGTATGTGGCTTACATTCAGAAAAATTATTGAATAGTTGAAGAGAATTGGATTACTGGAATGACAAGATAAAACTTACTGGCCAGATTTTGAAGAGACACTTTGCAGAATTTTAGGCGTGAATGTAATTGAATTTGATTTATATACATGTACATGTATTGTCATATTCAGGAGTTGTATTAGAAACGCAGGGTAAATTGAGAAAGAAGAGTTTTGAGAAAATTTGAACCACTGTTGGAATCAGCGAACTGTGAAGTGATAATTATTGGTTATCGATAGACAGATACTGAGTTTTTTAAAATTTGGATTTGACTCTTGTGATCATTTTCATTACATGAATTGTTCACTGTGATTTGCTGGATTTGAGGAGAGATTTCTCCATACAGCAGATTGATTTTAACATTGCTTAATTATTTAGGATTATTATTGTTTGTATCTTTTTTAAATTTAATTTAACATTCATTAAACTTTGTTGAATCTTTTTTACTTGTCATTAGGATTTCTTTGCTCTCCAACTTAACTTTGTATTGGTCATGGCAGACGTCCTGGTGTTTTCTTGTTTTTTTTTGTAAAGTACAGCGCAGCTAAGCAGCCGTGCGTGACAGCAAGGATGCATGTCCATGTACATGTACATGTAGTTACCTTATTTGTTGATTTATAAAGTATTTACGATGGGCGCTGCTGATGTGCGAACGGTTTTTGACCGACGTGCTTACATGTTAAAAGCGAACTGTACAGGAACGTGGTCAGTCGTGCAAGTGTACATGAACGGTATGTTTGATCGCATACATGTAGAACTGCAGCAGTCAACTCACTGCAAGATGAATGATTGATGATTTGACAATTCTCAGCATAGCATTGCATTGTTGAAGATGAAACACAAAGTTGAAGGTAAATTCGCCAACCACAATTACCGAGAAAAGCAAAGGAAAAGAATGTCTTTCTTAAGGGCCATAACTAGTCTGCAGATCGACCTCATCTGTGAACTGTCCTGGCAGACAGGAATGCCCTGTGGTCCATGGTGTTTTGCAAGACAAATTAAATGAGCTGTGCTCTCAGTGTAAAAATGAACATTTTTTTTTTATTTTCTCAGGGCAGTGTACTCAAAAGCTGAAACAAGTCCCTTGAATGATACACAAACATGACAAAGTCAGTCACAAACCCCCAAATCGGTCAATTTTGGCAAACTGCAGTACATGCAAATCCTGTACAATACCTAAACATATGCATCCATTTTGGAATTCCCACCAGGGCGAGCAGCCGACTTCAGAAAAAAAAACCCTCCCGGTTTTCAAGTTGGTGGCCGATCGGAATATTGTCTTATTGGACATGTACAGTAACTGTAAGTCGACTGGTTGGTCAGCGGAAACTCGGCCAAGTGCTAATTCAAAGGGATTTTCCCTGCCAAACATTGCTGGCCGATGCACGGAAGATCGGGCGTATTCATGGTGTTGGTAATTTGCATAAAGCTTGCCTGTTGCATTCCGTCCGCGTATCCACTGGGTTGCTAACAGCTCTTTTGTTTGGCAGGCATTAGCATGCTCTCCGTGATTCCATGAAATCCGTCCTGGAACACGTGGGCAATTTGGGGATGATGCCTATCTTATGATATCTGTAAACCCCAGTTTTACTGAATAGCTGTAGTGTGCCACTGTCAGATTTTGAAAATTCATTTCTGTCAGTCTTTTGCATATTTCTTTGATAAGGTATTATTTGGCAGTACCAAACACATTGCCAAGGGCTTCGTATATGACTTTCTTCAGCCGTGGCTTGGCACCGGTCTACTTACAAGGTACACTTACAAGTTTTGTAACTTTGATTGCACTATGGAGTATGAAGTGTGATGTCATTTAGAACCAGTAAATGCTGTACGAACGAATGGAGTACATGTGCATGCGCGCGTTGGTTCGCACTGGTTCTCACACTTCTGGCTTTCACATGCATAAATGAAATGGTCTGCCCATGTTCACTTCACTACTCCATAGAGAAATTTTCTGGGCCTGTTGCTGCCTTTTGACTGATACCAGAAGCATGAAATTGGAACAAAGATTCAGTCTTGTCTTTTGAGACCTTAAATTTACTTTTCTTGAGTTACAATGGGGATATATAGTGTTATCAAGAATGAGAAAGCACTTGTCCTCTGATGTAATGGTGCATCTACTCCTACATGACTGGGATTTTGTATGTGTCCTGCCAGTCATAGTTTAATTGGTGAGTGATTAACTAATTAAAATGCTCTGCACCTGCACCCTTTACTGACGAAATTTGTCCTTTTATCTTCTCTCCAGCAAGGGAAGTAAGTGGTTCCTGCGCCGTAAGATGCTGACACCAACCTTCCACTTCAGCGTCCTGCACAGTTTCCTTACAGTCTTCAACGAGAAGACTGACATCCTTGGAGTGAGATTGAAGATGATGACAGATGGCCAAGTGTTTGATATATTCCCCTTTATCACGCAGTGCTCATTGGATATCATTTGTGGTAAGTACAGTGCACATCTGGATAGTGATTACCAACTACACAGTGCACGAAAGTGCCATCGCGTGGCTGTAGATGTTATTTTGGATTTACAAAAAGTATTCAAAGTGTGAACAACATGCCCAACATTTTGCGAACTCTAATCCTCTAATGGGATGGGGCTTTTGGATCAGCCTATTAATTGCTGATACCTGATGATCTCCTATCTGGCCCCCAACTTTGAAAATTGTTCTGCCAATTGTTGTAGTCTAAGCAATAATTCCAATTAGCAGAACTCCATTATTAGCAGTGAGGACCCAGACATAGTGTGGTGGACAGAGACACACACCTGGCATGCCTGGCTGAAATGTTTCCCAAGAAGGTAGGCCTTCCCCAGGTTATGATGATGCATACGCAACTGATAGTCACATTTGAAGTGGAGGCACCCTTCTTGTTTTCAAGGATGAAATTTAACTACGAGTATCACTGGTTGATAATCGAAACTGCAAAGTACAGTTTGTATGTAGCATGAGGTAATCTCCTCACCAAAGGAAGTCCCTTTACTGAGGATCATACCAACTATCCGTACAGTCTTCCCAGGAATTAGCAACCATGCAGCTGTTGTTGATATTAACCCAGGCTACATCGAGGAGGAAGTAGAGATTTTTTTTCCGACATGCCATGGAATGTCGGCTGCAGGTGTGGTAGGTACGAAGCTGGCCAGCTTTGTCATTGCCATCCATAAAGCAGGTATAGCCCATGGCATGGGAGGTGCTTTCACATGCTTCTTGGTAGCTTTCTTTTCTTTTTCTTGATACCCCTCATGAGGAAGCCGGTACTCATATTTCTATAGCCGTGGTGGCATGTAGAGAGAAATGACATGACTTTTGTGTCCACCACAGGACAATGGTCATTTGCCCTTTTGGCGGGCGTAGGTGGTCCCTCTAGGTGCCTTGCTCATCTAAGTCATGAGCTGGTGCTGGGTGGGGTTGGCCGCTGGGTGCGTGCTGAACTCAGTGAGGAGCTCTCAGAAAGATCTTTTGATGGCTGGCTCTGCACAGGTACTTGTAGGTCTTCTTCTCCCAAATTGATGAGGCAAGGGAGACGGAAGTATAGAGCCGGTCAGAGAACAGTTTATGGTACGTCCCAAACAATGGTTCCATCATCTTCAGGAAGATGTTCAACATCTTCTCCTGGTCCTCTGGATGTACCATTCTGTTGACAATGTAGCCAGAGCAGGATTCACAGACTGCATAGATTTTGAACCCCATCTTGCTTGGCTTCAGGGGCAAGAAGTGCTTAACATTTGCCTTGGTGCCTATTTCACCATGGTCTCATCAAGGGTCAACTCTATCATGGGGACAAAGCTGTTGATGCAGTGCTCCTTCACTGTGTCCCAGATGTGCTCCAGCGGGTACAGAAGATGCACCTTCTTGTACATGAACCTCCCTCCCTTCCGCTTTTTATCCTGTGTGGGCCCTTGGTTGATTTGTGCAGCAGAGAACCTCCCAAAGCAAGTTATACCTTACCTTACCTGTTGTTGCTGGATCATCCGGATTCCCACCCAAGCCCTGATTTTTTCTTGTTTAGCTGTTTTGGCAACTCTGCCAAAACAGTTCTTGTTTTCGTTGATATTTTTTTTTGCTTTTTCGTAATTTTGTGAGAAAGACCTTTTTTTTCTTTTTTTTTGTCTTTTTCACAAGTTCCGTAAAAGACATTCTTTTTGTTCTGTTGTTAGGTTTGAACTTAATCGGACATGTACTTCACGAGATATAGTGCTTTGAAGAGTGAACCTTTAATGTCAGGTTATTTGTCATCTCTTGATGTCATTATTATGGAAGTCATGTCAGTGATCGTCTAGAACATGCATCACCCGTAGCTACCTGCAAGGTGTCAACTTACTGGATACATACATTATTATTATCAATTTCTGACAATGTCAGGGGTTGTGGAAAGGACTGTACAGTCCATCTTAAACCACGCCCCGGTTAAAATACAAATATACAAAATGTAAGATGAAAAATTAAATAAAATTCAACAACTATTTAGAATAACAAAAATGAGATAAAGATATGGTGAAAAGAGAAATACGATATTAAAAAGTAAAATTCCCCAAGAGCCAATAATGTAAAATAAAGCAACAAGTCATTAAAAATACAAACCAATACAGAACATTAAGATCATTGACATAAAAAACAGTAAGCTTAAACTTAAAAGTGAGAATTACATTAAAACAACACTGAAATTGAAAATACGAACAGGTAAAAAAGAGAGTTAACAGGTCAAAAAATCATAAAGGGAGTTCTTAAACACGTTCAGTGACATACTTTCAACAACTTGTTTGGGTAGACTATTCCACTCATTTGCTGTGCGAACAAAATAGGAATATTTAAAACAGTCAGTTTTGGTGAAAGGAATATCTAGTTTTAAGCTGTTATCATCATACATGTACTGTACAATACAAGTGGACGTCATGTTCATCATGTTCATTGAGAAAAAAGCACAGAATCTAGGGTTTATTTGATTTTAACTTTTTTTTGTTGTAATGACATTTTGGTCATTTGGCGTTCCATACAAAGTGATCTCACTTCAGTGCCACCTACTTGTATCACTGCATGCCCTGAGCTTTCTTTGCACTGTGCAATGTCTTTGTTACTGGCAGATGTAACGTGTTCACCCACATAGAAGCCATTACACCAATACACAGTATTATTTTTCTTATTTTATTTAAATATATATTTTTTTTAGCAGGCATCCAATCCACAAAAATATTAATCACGCCCGTCTCAGCATTTCCTTAATATCCAAACCTTGACTACGTTGGTTTTGTTTTTCCCTGCCCCTCCGCTTGTTTTTTTTTTTTTATTCCTAGCCTTCAACCCACAAAAAATATTTAAGTGGTATTGAAAAAAACTACTCCTTTCCCCAATTATAACCTTTATACAATAGGTGACAAGACCGTCTTCGAAAATCAACAAGAAAAAAATTGAACAGTTTTCCCAGTTAGGGTAAAAAAATGTCAACATATGGGTTCCCGGGATTCCCTTTTTCACTGGTTTCAGTATGAATATGTTTTAATGATATGCCAGTGCCCCAAAAATGTTCCGGGAAGATATGGCTGTAAATAGTGTGCATCTTCACACATGAGTCTCTTATGCGGAGCTCTGGAAGTGTCATCTGACTTGATGAGAACTTTGGCACTCTGGTCAATCCGACTGAATTACATGTATGTAACATTCATGAAATGTCAACGTTTTATATTTGTTATGATATTTTCATATTTCAATTTTTTTGTGCTTTCTGAAAATGCCGAAATAGCCCGCGGTTGTTTCAACAACCGTCATGCCTCTAGTTACCAGTACATGTATAATGGTGCTACAGATGTATATGCCGGACTTTACACTGGTCCCTTTCACAGAGACAGCAATGGGAAAGAATATCCATGCCCAGGAAGACCGCAAGAATGAATATGTGCAGGCTGTCATCAAGTAAGTTATGCAAGCAAAGCTTTCAAGTTTTTGTTCTCTTTCTTTTGGCTTAATTTCCTTAGTTTCTAAACCTGACTCTATGCAAGTATTCATCAGTAACCCAGTGTTGCTAGGAGACAACTTAACAAGTCCTCCCAAATCGTCCACAAAGCCATTGGCACATTCTTTGCTATCTACATTTCATTGGGACAACAAAACCTATGCAAAGCTAACAAGTGATTGTATCTTTCTTTGTAATCCTCCAAATCCACTTGGTGAATTTTAAAAGTATGTTGGATGTTGGGGCTACGACATTTTAAACTTTAATGGTTATGTCAGTGTTATCCTCATTCTGTCCAAATTCATTCCCACTAACACATTAGAATGCTGCAGTACACCACAATTGTGGAAAATAACTTGCATGCTAATTGTAGGTATGAAATATTTTCTGCTGTCACTTACAGAATGAGCGAGTTGGCACTTGAAAGGATGAAATATCCGTGGCTTTGGCCCAGCATGTTGTACAGCATCCTACCCCATGGAAAGCAACATGCTGAATGCCTGAAGATTCTACATGACACAACAGACAAGGTGTATGGTCTAAATCCGAAACAAAATTTTAAAAACTACAGAGTACACAGAAACAAAAGATGAACTAACAAAACCCTAAAACTTACAGCCCTGTCAAAGTGAATTGCAACAGTTTTGCCTTTTGAGTTCATTTAGAATAGAAATTTTCCTTCGGACAAATGCATTTAACAGAATTGTGTGTGTGCATGGATTCAGGCATTAATACAATGTAGTTTGAAGGATTTTTATTAATGGAAGTAGTTTGTGCTTCAGTGCTCTGTAAAGAGCAAATTTGGGCGTCTTGGGTTTCTCAAAAGTTTGTAAGTTCCCACTACTTGCAATAAAGCATTTTGGGGAACAAGGTTTGGATTCCTTTCACAAATCTCCAAGTGTTGATTCCTGTTTTGATAGGTCATCAAAGGAAGATACCAGGAGTTTGTAAAAATGTATCCTAGGGGTCTCAGGAACCCGTCAGCTGACGAGCCCCAGAAGAAACGTCTGGCATTTTTGGATCTTCTGCTTCAAATGAAGCAAGAGAATAAGAGCTTCACATTTGATGATATCAGGGAAGAGGTTGATACTTTCATGTTTGAGGTAAGATTCAACAAAGCTATAGGCCGCCAGTATTAAAGTTACCGTCATGTTGGCTATTTGTCCCCAGTGTTAATTCGTGCTCAACTTGATCTGTTTTTTTGTGTTATTTATTTTGTAATATAAATTGAAAAGATTGGTTCTGGTTCTGTACTGCACAAACACCTCCTTGGTTATCACGCGCAGCTCAGAGTGAGGGACATAGTGGCTAAATTATAAAGTACGCTTTTTGCACAAGGTTGAGAGGGTCCAGATGTTCAATCCTACTTTGGAATGTCTTGACATCAGGAGCAGATCGTATGCTAGGTGGAAGTAGGTTCCATTCCTTTATTGTCCTTGGTTAAAGAGAGTATTGCTACTAAAAAAAGTAACTTTTGAAGTTTTGTTGAAGTTTGGGGAATTAATGATGTGGGGACCAGTATTGTGTATTGTTGCGTAGGTATTGGTTCCACCAGGTGCTTGCAGATTTGGTGGCGTAATATTGTGGATTTCCTTGTAAATTGCAGTGAGTTTAAGTTGAATTCTGTGGAGCTCCAGAGTGTCCCATTTTAGAGAAGTCATCATGTTACTTACACTTTAGATCTGTTTGTAGGCATCACAAACGAAGCAGGCTGCCCTACGTTGTACTTTCTCCAGGGTGATTTTTATTGTTAAATTAGGTTAGGCTTGCGATTGCACCATGTACACAAAAATATCTCTTTTATGAGTGCAGTTTTGAGTAGAACCGGTGGTGAAACACTCGATGTTCCAAACAGTATGCTCAGTTTGTCTTCAGGAGGATGGCTGATTGCCTGGCTCTGAGAGTGCTGGTTTTAAGCGCTGGAGAGGATGCTGAAAGTGCACTATCCAAAAGTTAATATCCAAAAATTGTTTGAAACAAAAACTTTCCATGCCCTGCACCAGTTGTCACGAAACCCTCTATCGCGTCGTCAAAAGCGAAATGTACTCATCTTATTTCAAGCCATAAATTCACAGTGAAATGTGTGCTGCTGCAAGTAACAGCGGAGATTGTTAGTCACTACTTACATTCACACACAAATGGCTGTAATGAATTCCCCTGATATCATGTACATGTATATTGATGTTTCATTGACAGCCAATCACAACACAATGACCGGATGGTCCCAGGATGCTACTTACACACAAGGCTTGCGCTTCAAGCCCAGCTGTAGAAAAAACGGCACTTACACAAGGAAGAAAAAACCTGTCTAAACCTGATAAATGATGTGGTTTAACAAATGAAAGGATAAAGTCCAATATGCATCCAATTTCCTAATGACACCGAGATCAGTGTGCATACCCGGCCGTCACTTTTGCGTTCTCTTGCCAGGTAGGCCTGCATCATGTACTGGTGCATGTACGTGCGTCAAGTTGTCTGTGATATTAAACCCATCCAAACTATTTCTTTCAAGAGTAATCAGTGTAGGCAATATTAAAAATATAAATCTATCTTAAATTTTTATCAGGCCTAACTTTATTTTTAACTAATACATTTTATCATAATTTCCCCTTCCCCCAAATATTGTGATTCACATTTTTTGCATCGCGATGCCGTATCGTGGCATTTTAGAATCGCGATTATCGATCCATCGTTAAATCGTTACAGCCCTAATAGTATAATAGTTGGTTGTACTGAAAGACATCTGCCAAGTACATGTACATGTATTGCATGTATTGCCCCAATCACAGAGAGCGTCCAGATCCTTTTGAAGAGATGAACTGTCTTCCAGTGTTTTTATCTCTATATAAATTATAGCATTGTCTGAAAAAAGGCAGACTCTAGATGAAACTTCGTTTGGCATGTACTAATGTTCAACAAGAAAAGCAAGGAACTCATCACGGTCCCCTGGAGTACACCTGAAAACACTGAAGTTTCATCTCACGTCTCGCCCTCCAGCAAGACTCATTGGTTTCTTCTTGTCAAGAAGATCTCAACCCACTCCTGGAGGCTGCTGTGTATTCCAGCATGTCTGAGCTTGTACAATAGTAGTTTGTGGGGAACTTTATCAAGTGCCTTACTGAAGTCTACTACCGGTATATGATCAATTCAGTCGGGCTTAATGACTTGGCAAGATCATTGATAAGTCCAGCCAGTTGATCCACCTTGTCTTCAACCATGTTGGTGATTTGTAAGTACTTTGTGAGAGTCGATATTGTGCATGATGTGCAGGTGGATTATATGCACAAGAATCTTACATGGAATGGAAGTCAGTGAGATTGGGCGATAGTTTGCTGGATTTGGCCTGTCGCCTTTTTTGAACATGGGAACTATCTTGGTGTTCAGCCAGTCTTCCAGGAGTTCCCAGCTGTCAATAGACTTCTGGAAGATCTTTGAGAGACTGGAGCCAAGCTTGTTGAACAACTCTTTACAATCCTTGCTTTCTTTGATTTTATTTTGTCCAGTAGTTTTCTAACCCCGTTTGTAGTTATCGTGAGAGCTGCAAGTTTTGGACTTGGTTGTGAATTCAGTGGTGGAGGGTCGTTAAGATTTTCTTTAGTGAAAACTGAACAGACCTGTTCATTTAATTAACACTTCAGCCTTGTCCACTGCTAAAAATACCGGTACTGTGCATCCCATCGATGTTAGGCTTGAGATTCCTAACACTTCTTGGTTCATCATTTTCTTGATGTAATGATGTGTGATACACATCAGGGGATGATGGGACATTTTAGCATCTGTAGACTACTCATCAGTTGCCATTGTTGATATCATGGTCTCTTTGGAAATAGAAGAGTTTTATTCTGTACTAATTTTCAAAAGAACCATTCAAAGATGAGCATTGATTGGCTTTTTTGTCTTTTGTTTCTAGGGTCATGACACAACGGCAGCAGGTGTGTCATGGTGTCTCTATCTCCTGGGCCGACATCCTGAGATACAGCACAGAGTACAGAAAGAATTAGATGAGGTGTTTGGTGAGTTCAAAGCATGTGCAATGTTCGTCAGGCTTTCAAATAAAACAGTGGCCAGAGTGGGAGCTACAGTATATAATTTTTGAACCAAGTGTTTTCTTTCTCCCAGCCACCCTCCTGTAAAGGCCTATTGCTTGGCCCCAGTTGACACATTATGATTCATACTTAACAGTGCAGTATTGCGGATCTCTACATCGAGGTACTCCAGTATAGCAGTTAATGTGTATCCTTGCCTAATAGGTACTATAGTATTCAGTATTTTATTGGTTAAACTTGTTTGAAGCCTTCAACTTTCAATTTGCGTATACCCAACACTGTTATGTTGCTAGGTAGTACCCAGGGACCTGTCACATCAGACCAGCTGCAGCGCCTGCACTACCTGACCTGTGTTATCAAGGAAACCCTACGCATCTTTCCCTCGGTACCTTTCATTGCACGCGTGCTTGACGAAGACTGTGTGTTGGGTGAGATGCTGAGTGTGATAGAAAGAAGCAGTGTTACATCCACATAAATTAGTTTTGGCAAAGCCGACAATGTTACCAGCTTTCAACAGTAAATTTAACTTTAACCTTACAGTGCTGATCCAAAGACTGTCTATCCTGAAGTTTTGGAGGATTTGCATGAAAACATGCAAACACACTGTTTTTCTCAATTTTTCTTGAAGCAGTTAACTCAAAACATGAAACAGGTCAGTGGAATTAAAGCTGCAGTAAATTTTATATTCTAAAATGAACTAACTGTAAATTAAAGCCAAAAAATAGTGGTGGTCTACATGTACATGTACTTTCAAAACAGTATTACCGAAACACCCTCCAGTGTCTCTGAATGAATACAGTACAAATAACATGCAAATGCAAGGTGGTACAGTTGGCATAAAGCCTAGAAACTTAACAGCTGGATCTGAGTTCTTAGATTTTGGATTATGTTGGAATCCAAGTATTTGGGAAGAAGCATGTTGAAAATGTCCAAGTATTTGTAAAAGGGCTGGAGTCCAATCTCCAGTTTTGTAAATGTACATGTACAGTACAGGCTGACAGGTGTACTTATCTTTTACACTGCTATGGAACTGCATACTGAAGCTCTTGTATTCCTACTCCAGCAACACCACCTTGATACATGGGCAGTAAGGTTTGATTCCTATTGCTACCTTATATTTCAAGATACATGTACTTGTGTTCATGTGTATGTGGAAGGAAATTGGGGACAAAGAGCTCAACTCAAATGCTACATTAAAAAGAAAATACTTGCCAGGTAGACATAGAATCATTGACGAAAGCTGTAATCAAGTTTGTATCCAGAAGTCATCCATTTGAAAGTGAAACCACAATTAATTGAAATGAAATAGAGCAAAGAGATTGCTGAGTCATTATTTGTATTGCTTTGTAAACTAATAAATCAGTTTGTGACTTGATGAAAAGTAACATCTGTTAGTGATGCACTTCATGTTACTTGAACTGTTCAGTCTGTCTAGGGTGTGAATCCCAATCTCCTGCATGTTTGTTATGTGAATATTTTTCATTGAAACAGGCGGCCACAAGATTCCCAGTGGCACTAACGTTTGTGTCCTGATAAATGCACTGCATCGTGACCCAGATGTCTTCCCAAACCCTGAAGAGTTTGATCCAGATAGATTCTTGTATCAGAACTGCATCAGTCGTCATCCATATGCCTATGTACCCTTCTCTGCTGGAGCCAGGAACTGTATTGGTGAGTGCTGTTTCTCTAATTACATTTCAAAACCCTTGAGTCACTGATGCTTGTTACATGCACAAAAACATATACATGTAGATTTCATCATAGGAAAAGACAGTTCTAAGACAAATTTGGCAAATTTCGGTAAAATTCATGATCTTATAAAGTGAATGGCCATTCATAGCATGAATGCAAATTTAGATGAAAGATTTAAAATTTGGATGGATTTCAGACAGTGAAGGGGTTTGTATTCTGGTTTATTTGCCTCATCCAGTATCAGGATTTCAGTACCACGAAATACCAAAAAAAACACACTATAAAAAACAAGATGATCATTGTGTTTATCAGTAGACAAACACTGAGCTGTTTCGGGAAACTTTTTTGGTTTTAGTTAGAACAGGCGGGAATCGAACAGCTGTTGTTTAGTTCACAGTTCAAATTTTTGTGGGACCACTACCTCCTTGCTACAGTAGAATGTGACAATATACGCTTACACGGTTGCCTGCTACATGTTTTTAATTTTGCCAGATTCCCCCAAAATAGCAGGCCTCCGTTACACGCTTTAAACGTACATGTACAAAGCATATATATGACTCTTACCACTGTAGCTCTTACCCTACGGGTCAAGTTGCTGGCATTTACGGCAGATGGAAACTTTTTCATCAGCCGCGCACAGCGTGTACCAGTATTAACCATGCAACGAGCTAATAGACAATGGATGCAGATATTTACTCTAGTTTTCGATGGGCAATTGTAAACTTTCGCGTTTGGGATTGATTTTTTCCCAATTTTTAATGATTTAAAGGTCTTTTCGTTATAACTTCCTCCCTCTTGATGTCATCGGCTCCAAATTTCACACGTGTTAAATGGGTAAAGATCATCATCCATGTCGATTTTCAGCCGATTCGGATAAGCTTCACCACGGACATCTATTCCAATTCATTTTTCACAATTTTTAACCAATAAGTAGAGGGCGCAGAACAATTATATGACGTCTTCAGTAGATGATTTCAAGAATACTGTACCCCCACGCACTAACACCATTGAAAACAAGTTGATACCTATTACCACTCTTAAATAATAAGCCCACTTCCAGTTTCGACCAGGAGGAAGAGTCACGTGTTTTGACCCACACCAGATGAATTGGAGACCAAATATTACTCTGCCACTTGCCACAAACAAAATGTTGCGGGAGGCTACGGTTAAATTTATATGGTTTTAGAAATTTACAATATTTAAATATTCCAAATTTAATAACAAATCACTTGATGACGTCATTGTGACGTAATTATTATAGTATTATCTTTGCTTCAAGTCCTTTGCTTGGTGTAACTTTGACATTCTATAATAAATTGGGAGATAACGTCATGAGGACGTCATTATGTGGCATACCGGTACATCTGTAGGTGGTAGTCTAGCAATGTGCTGGATTGGAAGGGAATCAGCAAAACATAAAATGTCATTATCACTATTATATTATCATTATCATATCAATGTTCGTTAGTAACACTTCCCTTGACGAAACTATGTACACAATGCTGAATTGATGATACACTACATGCAGATTTAACTGACAAAAGCAGGCAGAAACATTATTATTTGACTTTCAGTTTAGTTTGTATGCAAGAAACAGGTTCAATATGTCTTCAGTATATTTCGAATATTAAAGATGACCCTGATTGAGATCTCAATGATTCCTTGCCCACTGAAAAGAAAAAGGGGCAACAAATAATTTAATGAATAGTAATTTCAAATATACGAATGCTTAATACAATCTACTCTGTTTACTGTACCTTAAGCTTGTATATTTAATAAACTATTGGTATTAGTAACTATGTAATTATTGCCTCATCCCTGTCGTATCGAACATACAGAAATTATCAGTCAGGTAATACAACATGACCGTTGAATTTCATCAAGTGAGGCCGCAGTTCACTTTTCACATAAGGTGTTTGATTGCCCAAATGAGGATCCGCTGCAGTTGCGCTATCCCTTTTAACAACCCTGACCATCTACATGTAGGTTAGAGGATTTCGAACTGTTAGGACCATTGGTATACACAAACTAAGAAATGTCGATTTCAAAGACGGGAAGAAAAATAATGCGAACATCAATTTCACACTATTCTTCCAAAAGTATATTTTTGTATTCCCTATTGAAAGTAATTGGACAAATGATTACTTTTAATAACTGTATCTGCAAGTGCACAGCAGCACAAACCCTGAACATGTATACTTAAAACATTGAACATTAAAACTCGTCCAGAGGTTGAAGGAGTTATCAGGGTAATGCTTAAGTGTCCTTAATAGTACTATTCATAACATATTAAGGGAAAACTGTGCTTTGGGGCATTGTACTATTGGATATTATATAAAACCGGCAAAGTTAATCTTTAGGCACTACTCTAAGTTGACAGGTGACCTTCATTGTTCAC